ATATTCCTGAATTACTTGTGTTCCCCAGGAAGCAGCAATCCCAATTTCCCTCCCCCCTGCCAGGAGGAGCCCCGGGGGCAGGGCTGTCCCACCTGAGGGCGCAGGTGACGCGGTCGGGCCGCAGGGCCCTGAGGATGCACAGGCGCTGCAGGGATGACTTGTTCTTCCACTCCTGGGGGAACTTCTCCCTCTCGGGACACTCAGACTCAATGAATTTCCTCCACCTTTTCGCAGAGCCTTCGATATCCCGATCCAGGTTTCTGAATTCCTCCATGGATGAGAGAGCCTGGAAGAAACCAAGGGAGGTCAAGAAGAACAATCCTACTTGCCTCTGAATTGCTTTTCTAACATTATGGACTGCTCATATCTTGCTCCACCGAAAGGGTCAAAGCTGGACTCTGGGAAGCACAACCAGAAACCCACCAGGACCTCAGAATCACAGAATATGCTGAGTGGGAAGGAACCCATGAAGAGCTTCAAGCACAACTCTTAGCCTTTCACAGGACTATCCTCAAGAGTCTGTGCCTGAGACCAGACTTTGTCCATTCTCCTTCTCCAGACTCTATGGTCAGCACATGATCACAGCACCAGGAATAAACACAGCCCATTTGCAAGGCCACAGGGCAAGGAGGACCGAGGGCTTTCTCATTCTTGTAGAAGGCTTTCTCTCCAGGCTGCCCTCAGAACATCAGCTCTAGAGTCATGCAGCACCTAACAAAGCCTTGCCTGGTGCCCTCCCCCACATCTCTGCAGTGCCCCTCCCCGACCAGGGGAGCCACACACATCATCCAGGCCCTGCCTGGCACCACAGACATGGGTGCTTGGAAAGGACAGCACAGGAAAGGAGGACACATTTTCGCATCAACCACCACGTAGCACTCCATTTCCCAAAGAGCAAATAAAGCTCCTCTTCTGTTTGGAAACCAGATCTGAAGAATCTCAGCTGACAAGCACTTCTGAGTGCCTTTTATCCCAGAAATCCCTGATTTATATGGGAGCTGGAAATTTAGAGCCTGCGTCTGACAGGAGAGCACATTGTTGACATTCCTGTGAGCTGCACATCCACAGTCTCCTCATTGCTTCCACAGAAACAAGGAGAATTGTGCAGCAAAATCCATAAGAGTTGATGGAAAAATGTGCTTTGGTATCCAGGGTGCTCAGTATCCAAAGCTAAACACACTCAAACATGCCAAGCTCACCAAAACCTTTTCTTTAAAGGATTTCACAGTTGGAATAATAATTGTCTTCATAAAATCACAGAATGATTTGGAAGTGACCCTCAAGTGCATCCCACTCCAACTCCCTGCCATGGGTTGGGTCATCTCTATCCAGTTGTTTTTCTCTCCCTGTTCCCCATGCACATCCCTCTCTCTCTGCACAGTCTGGTGCACACAGGCTGTGAAACCAAGGCACTGAGCTTTCCCCACACAGCCCTGGTGACCACGGGGCCAGGAACCCCAACAAATACAGTGAAACCAAATCCTCAGGTTTATATTTGCCAAACTCACACAACAATTAACTTACTTGGTGCTACGAGTCTGCAGCAGAAACAGGCAGCTGAAGAATGCCCCCAAAAACCAACTGAGCAAGGCAGTCAATAAATTATAATGACAATGAAAATCAGTTAGTTAGATTTTGTAGTTAGAAAGTGACAACTATAAATGTTATGCAGAGAAGTAAAGTATCCAAATTCTCCCTCATACGAGTGGTGGCAGAACACATTGCACAGCTCAGAAGGCTCTTCCGGATTTCAAGTGAAATTTTCACTGAAACAAACATCTTCAGAGTGTTTTGCATAATCTGAAGCTGTGAGTGGTTGAACATAAAGGGGAAAAGACAAGTGAAGGATAAAAGACAGTGACTGAGCTGTTTTGTACAGGAACAGAAGGGCACAGTCAGAGAGAAGCAGAAGCTTCTGGATGGGCAGCAGTGTCCCACACCCCCAGGGCTCCAGCTCACAGCCCATACAGCCTCAGGTGAGAGATCCTGGAAAAATGCTGGTGTCATACCCTGCTCAGATCAACTGAACACCCACAGCCTTCCACAGGGCTCTGAAAGGCACCCAAGGGCCCTGGCAGAGGTGTGAGAGATGGCCTTGGATACACTGCTCTTGCTAAGCAGGCAGAACACACTGAAAGCCACCCTGCTTTAAAAAAAACCTGCTTTTCCTCTGGAAAAGGCTTCCCAGTGAGAACACAAGAGCACTGTAAAATTTGATCTTTCTAAAAGACTGAATTTAGTCCCAGAGAGTGCAGAGAGAGAAGGAAGAAGTCAGAAAAAGGGGCTTCTGATAACAAATGAGTTCACGTTTTTAGCAGTGGAAATCATAGAATCACAAAATGGTTTGGGTTGGAAGGGACCTTAAAGATCATCTTGTTCCAATCCCCTGCCAGAGACACTTTCTACTAGCCCAGGTTGCTCCAAGCCCCATCCAACCTGGCCTTGGACACTTCCAGGGATGGGGCAGCCACAGCTTCTCTGGGCAACCTGTTCCCAGGTAGAGTGTCTGTAGACAAAGAGGTTGCAGAGCTGCTCCCAGTGGGTGCCACGACCCAGGACATTTGCTGTATTTACACTCACAGCACCACCAGCAATGGGTGGAAGAAATCTCAGGAGGGGTCCAGGCCACACTTGTGCTCAGGCTGGGCCTGTGGCCAGTGACAGAGAGAGGGCCAGCCATGGCTTTATCTACCAGAATGCTGCCCTCCAAGATAAAGCCCCTCTGGGTGCTCTGCTCTGGACCTGCACTGTCCTTACAGTGAAGAAGAGAATTTATCTTTTCATACGTTCAAGCAGAACCTTCCAACCTGCAGTTTGTGGTGGCTGACACCACTTTTACCATTAAACCACATCCTCAAGTGCCACATCCACTTCCAGGGATGGTGACTCCACCACCTCCCTGGGCAGCCTGTTCCAGGGCTTGATAACCCTCTAGTTGATTTTTCCCCCCCTAATATCCAATCTAAACTTTCCCTGGTGCAACTCTTGTCCTGTCACTTATTACCTGGGAGAAGAGACTGACCCCCACCAGGCTACGAGCATTATTGCATTGCCCAGAACATGGAGAGTTTGGCTCTGTCCTCTCAGAGTTGGACAAACCTCCCCACCTTTCCTCACTCTGGTGCTCCAGGGCTGGAATCAAGAGCTCTGGGCAGAGAAGAACTTGTAGGTACCACTAAAAATACTTCTGCAACAGAGTGTTTGCGGTGCCACGGCTCAGACTGACTCAGCCTGGCACTGCCCATTCCCATGCCAAGCTCCCAGACAACTGAGAGTGTCATGAGGAAGAGTGTGGGAAGAGCAGTGATTCAACAGCTGTTTTTTCCAAGTGTGGATCAGCACTAACATGGAGAGATGTCAGATGGACTTGCTCCAAATCCAGTGCCTTACCCTGCTTTCTGTGAAAAAACAAAAAACCAGAGCACAGCACAGGAGAAACTGAAATTCCCAGGGATGATGGAATATTCTGATCTGCCAAACCCTGGTCCTTGCAGCAATAAATGTACTTGATGCACCTCTCAGAGCTGAGCACAACACAATGGCAAATGTTGAATTCAGTGGATTCTCAGTGCAGTGCTTATATAAAACATCACTGTCGACTTTTGACGTGATTCACTTAAAATATCTCTTCAGAACTTTGGCTGCTGCTGCTTCGAGAAGTCTCTTGGTTGATGTTAACAAGGGAGACTCTGAAAAATTGCTTTTTTCTTACCAAATGACAGACATGTAATCAGGGATGATAGTCTCTCTCTCTCTCTCCCCGAACAACGTTGCAAAATCAAGAAAGCTCTAATTGCGAGTAAAAAGTCTGTATTATATAAATTAATACTAAAATTTTCATTAGTCAACAATTTTAATTGCATTTATTAAGAGTGATGGTATTAATAAGAGATGCTGCTATTTAAAAGCCAGTGGAGTGAAAGCTATCTCAATCTGTGAATATTAATTGCTTTTCAATACCTCTGCTGGGAATTTTTCCAGGAAACTTAGTCCAACACTGACACATCACTGTTTCCAAGCAGGAATGGCACGTCAGGGCAGCAGATGGGAACCCACACCAACCTGTGCAGTGTGGCTATTTTTGTCCACATAATGAGCAGCACATTTGTCACTTAGAGTTGTCATGGAAATTGAGAGAGACAAAAAACGTGGGACAAAACAAAACATGATCCAAATGGCTGGAGGACTCCAAGTCCTGCCTTTGCAACCCACTCCATGATCATCTCTGATGGCTGGAAAAAGGAGGGGCTTGAGTTTATATCTCAACATGACACTTTGCCAGCAAAACAGGGCTCCTCACACCCCCAGGGCAAGGAGCATTGTTTTCACAGAGAAAATGGGTTTTCATTCACTGAATCACAGACAAGTTGCTTTGTCACTTCGGGTTTCTTTGACAGTTTCTCTCTGTCAGAAGCAGTTAATGTGGAGCTGGGGTGGCAGCAGCTCTGTGGGTTCACACCTTCACACATGCAAAGTTCTCTCCTTCCCCCACAGCTGGAGGGAACACGACACTGGCTTCGGGACAGGAATCCTGGTTCCCATCACACAGCAACACAGGAGGGTCCCTGACACACAGCCCTGAGTCAGGGAACAGCCCCAGGGGACAGGGATCTTTGGAAAGACACCTGGGGGGGACAGGGAGGAGATGAAACCCTCAGAACCCAGGGCATGGGCTGAGTCTTTTGAGAAAAGAACAGCTCCAAGGTTGCTACTCCACACAAGATATTGCCTTAAAGCACAATAAGCTTTTGTAAATTTATTGGAAAAAAACACTTGCTCTTATCACTGAAGGGAACTGTTCTAAGGACACCATCTGATTGAACTGGTCTCAAGTTTAGGCGTTGCTTCGTAACTTCCTAAAAAATCCAAATAAATAAATATGTTATTTCCATATCTTCTTCCCTTTGGCTCTAAAGGAATTTATTAAAAAAAAAAAAAAAAAAAAAAAAAAAAAAAAAAAAAAAAAAAAAAAAAAAAAAAAAAAAAAAGATTGCCTTGTATTTTACAATATATCCATAGCTCAAACAATCTGCCCCAGAGCCACAGGATGGGAGAACAGCTCTGGGGCAAGGCAGGAAAAAAATCACTTCATTACTGTGCTCTGAACTGACACAAAGAGCATGGAAAATAATCCAGAGCGAGCAAAGCCAGTGCTGCCAGAACACTCCTAACACTAACTTACTTCCCCAGCAGCCATAAGACTGGTTTTTAAAAGACATAATGAAATCAAAATAAAGGAATGTGAGGGGGTTTGTAAAAGCCATCCTTAATTTTGAGGCCTCAGGT